GGCGGAGCAAGACTGAAGGAGGAGGAGCTTGCTCGCAAACCTAATTATCGGTCCAGAGACAGACCGAAAACGGTAGAGAGGGGCCGGCGAAGAGGAGGAGTTCAATTTTTGTTGGTGGGCGGGGCACGCAACAAAGAGCCAGACTTAGTTGACAGATTTATCAAGTGTTTACAGGAAGTTCCAGAGTTCGCTAAAAAGGGATAGAGGCCGGCGAAGGGAAAGCAGTCAATTTTTATTGGTGGGTGGGGTATGCAATAAAGTGGGCGCGTTTTGCATAGCGTACAGTCGCTCAGAGACAGTTCAGAAACCGGGGAAGAGGTGGGAAAGATTGGCAAGGATAAAAAGATGGGTGAGACATGCACCAAAACAGGCGGAGTTTACGAGATTTATAAGCCAATCTAGAGGCTGCCGGAAGACTGGGAAAAAGCGGATTATGGTTGCGAAGAGGGAGAGGTCAAAAGCTGTCGATTATAGAACGGACAGAACCTAGCTAGAAGCCTCCATCTTATCCTTTGTTGAAACCTCAGCATTATTGGCCATAATTCTTCTGTAGCCGAGGGAGGTTGATATTCGGAACCCTTTTTATTGAGTAGCACAAGATTTCAACCTTTTCGTCTTCTTCAGAGGCTGAGGGATAGAGATCGTAGTTTGGAATTTTGTAAAGCTAACGACAAGCTCCTTCAGTTTGTCACTTGTGTTGTGAAACACATCGGAATCACTCAGTACGATAAAGAACTCACCAAAGGTTTCACCAGCACTGCGTTTATCTCTCGCCCTTAGTAACGTTAGGCCGATATCATAGTTTGCGAATCGAGCGATTCGCTAGCGAATCGCTCGATCCGAGCGTAGCAGTTGCAAACAGGAAGGATACTAGTTATTCGCCTCAACGAACCCTAGCCGGAAAGAGGCGTGGTATAATGACAACCACACTTCTTAAGCATAAATTGAGGAACACGATGGAGACGACTTCGATGCAAAGTGTTCCACCTTGACGTGTGAGACGGAAATTTTCTGTGGGACAGTCCTGGAATCATTCTGGATTCTCGCAAGAAAGCCACAAATGAATAACAGAAATGAGTGCTTGTTGATTACCAGTGACTTTCTGCCTTTTGTATCAGAGTGTGATTTATAAAAATGGGCTACGTGTAAATGACTCGGCCTTCGATCGATGCGACAGCGAGACCTCGTGAAGTTTATTTGCCCATTCTAAGGCCGATGTCATAGTTTGCGAATCGAGCGATTCGCTAGCGAATCGCTCGATCCGAGCGTTGCGCCAGCGAATCGAACGTTGCACCAGCGAATCGAACTTTGCGCCAGCGAGTCGAACGATGTACCAGCGAGTCGAACTAGGTACCAGCGACTCAATAGTGGCGGGACGCAACTTTCAAAGGAAGCGCCGCACTTTCAATCAGCGTAGTCACATGTCACGTGACACTGTTTGAAAGTGGCGGCTTCCTTTTAAACGTTGGGTCCCGCCACTATTGAGTCGCTGGTACCTAGTTCGACTCGCTGGTACATCGTTCGACTCGCTGGCGCAAAGTTCGATTCGCTGGTGCAACGTTCGATTCGCTGGCGCAACGCTCGGATCGAGCGATTCGCTAGCGAATCGCTCGATTCGCAAACTATGACATCGGCCTTAGAATGGCAAATCAACTTCACGAGTCTCCTGGTGCTAGATCCGGAGAACCGATCCAATTTACACGTAGCCCATTTTTATAAATCACACTCTGATACAAAAGGCAGAAAGTCACTGGTAATCAACAAGCACTCATTTCTGTTATTCATTCGTGGCTTTCTTGCGAAAATCCAGAATGATTCCAGGACTGTTCCCACAGAAAATTTCCGTCTCACACGTCAAGGTGGAACACTTTGCATCGAAGTCGTCTCCATCATGTTCCTCAATTTATGCTTAAGAAGTGTGGTTGTCATTATACCACGCCTCTTTCCAGCTAGGTGTTCGTTGAGGCGAATAACTAGTATCCTTCCTGTTTGCAACTGCTATTACAAACCCGACATTCAAGCTGATAAATTGTTCCCCACTTTTTCACAGTCTCCAACCTTACCGTATGGACAAATTACGCAGCCTGGTGTCGTACACTGCCGGTCGTACAGTCTGTTGCGAACAAGTTGACGCTTGATGTTGTCATTAGGAATATTCACTTATGCAACATCATTTTGTAATTGTGCTCTCACAATTCTGCGATGTATGTGGCAATTCTCAACCGCAGTCATTATATGCGCTTTATTGAGTCCGAACGTTTCAATGCCGTGAACACTGACTCAATAGAGCGCATACAATGATTCTACATAGTTGCGGCATGCCTGCATTGTAACACCTTTGAATGGTCAGATTGTAAACTCTCAGATTAGCGGTTTGACTATGGGTCAGCGGCTAGCCCCAGTACTTGCGGTCTGCTTTATGAGCAAAATTGAAGAACCAGTACTGAGCGCTTGCCTTTGATGTACTGCAGATATATCGACGACTGTTTCATTATAACATCAACACAGTCCGAAATGGATGAGTGTTTCCGATTAATGAATGAGCAGTCGCAGTACATCAAGCTCACACGAGAAGTACCAAAGCAAGGTTGGCTTCCATACCTTAATACGCAGGTGAAGTTGCCAGATGGCATCACTAACGTCAAATGGGACCGCAAGCCTAGCTGTAAAAATATCTTGGTTCATGCGACGTCGTCTCATCCTGTTGCAGTTAAGCGTGCAGTTGTTAGGAATATGCTCACAACTGCAATTAGGATGTGCACTGGCGATGAAGAGCGTAAAGAATCAAAGCGACCAGCTTTCAACATAGCTACATAATGCAAACGGTTACGCGGTACCAACATGTCAGCGAACATCGAATGCTGGCCAGCGACACGTACCACGCCAAGAGAAGTTACCTTTATGCCTTCCTTTCATCTCCGATAGCGTTAGCGCTGCAATACATCGTAGTATTGTGAGAGCAGGTGAAAGCAGGTTACAAAATGATGTTGCATTAGTGAACATTCCTAATAGCAACATCAAGCGTCAACTTGTTCGCAACAGACTGTACGACCGGCAGTGTTCGACAACAGGCTGTGTAATTTTCTCCACATGGTAAGGGTTGGAGCTGGAAAAAAACTAGCTGGAAAAAGGCGTGGTATAATGACAACCCCACTTGACAAGCATAAAATTGGGGAGCATAATGGAGACCTTGATGTAAAATGTTCCATCTTCGACGGAAATTTCCTCTAGGAAAGACCTGGAATCATTCTGGATTTTCGCAAGAAAGCCACGAATGAATAACGGAAATGAGTGCTTGTCGATTACCAGTGACTTTCTGCCTTTTGTATCAGAGTGTGATTTATAAAAATGGGCTACGTGCCTTATGACAGTCTTCGGCCGATATCACAGCATGAGACTTCAAGAAGCTCTTTTACTAACATTACTAAGCCAAATACTCCGCAGTACTGGTGAGCTCTTTATCGTATCGAGTGATTCCGATGTGTTTGTTAACACGAGGTCGGCAACGCTGGAGGATGCTTTGCCGGGATGCTTACAATATCAAAAGCTTCGAGCTATCTTCAGGCCTCTGAAGAAGACGAAAAGGTCGAAACGTCAGACGGCCACCCAATAAAAAGGATTACAACTATCAACCTTGCTTGAGAACAGAAGAATTAAACCAGCTCAGAGGTCAAATGTTCGTATCAGGCATCGTATCGGACCAAATTGAGAATTTACGCTTCACCACTTCCATATCGCCAGTAGAACCGCATGTGCACGCGCACGTGCTGCACTAACTGTTTGTATGCATACGACCATTTTTACCACCATAGAGTAGATCTTCTCCAGTGTTGCAATAGAATAGATAGAAAATTATTGCTCTGACTTTCTTCTAACCCAAACATGTTTCAAGTAGTCGAGAACAAACATCTCCAGCATATTTAAACAACACAAAACGCCCTATGACAAATAAAAAAGAACCCGCAAGTTAGCATGGAATACCATAATTCTGTTGCACGGTCATACAGTCGAAAACATATGTACAATTTTAGAGTTTAAGACATACAATTCAGGGTTCTTACTCCGCTGTAACATCGTGTGATTCAGCGGTGGTAAAGCACAACGCAACTTACTAAGTCAAGTGGAAAATGTTTTTCAAACCATAATAGTGTTCGATCAGTGAGCTAGCAAGCGAGAACAACGAAATGAGTGTAACCAGGGGAAAATGAGACCAGTGACTGTTCTGTTTTTTGTCACGTCATTACTGATATTACGAAAAAGCGAAATTACAAAGGTATCTTCTACTATTTATCGATGCCAGGTTTTTTAACGAACTACAGATTCCGCTGAATTCTATTCTCAGCTGCAATTACAAGTGGTTGTACTCAATGAATGAAGGACAAGAGCATACGACATATAGAACAAACTGAAAGCCTCAGAACAAAACTCCGTGACTCATTAAAAATCCAAAAAGGGAACAGAACTATTCAAGCCTATCATAAGAATAGTGCTATTCTACTATTGTAGAGACAAAGCGTCACCGTGGTAGATCCCCTTCTGTTATTCTCGACAAAGCAGTCACCTTCAAACATAGAACTGATCATAATTATGGTCCTAACCTAATCTGCCTATTTCTTCGTCTAAACTAGACGATGACGATACCCGCAGAAAGCATTCCGATCAATGACACAATAAGTCTCACATGAGAAACTGTTTTTTATGATATGGTTTGGCGGACATCCTCGTTCTGATGCAGAATGTAAACGAAGAGTGGCGAAATAAGGAGTGCTCAGTCATGGTGTCGCGGATAATGAGACCACTTTTCCGTTGCAAGACTTCAACATCAGCTGCGCCTAAACCAAGTTCAATTTTCATTGTATCATAGTGAGCCATGAAAAACTCTTTGCGCTATAAACAGAAGTCATCCTCTTGCTTTCATTCACTCCGCCCTGCTCTCCCAGGAATCAATGAAAAAATTTGGGAAAAATCTTACTTGATGAGAGGTCCGCAATACATGCAACTGCTTCACCTTTAGTACCGACTACTTATAAAATGTTGTCGAAAATGCCCTTTTTCTATAAAGATTTACGGTAGCAGTCGAAGGTAATCATCAGAGCGATTTTTTGTGCATTATTCTTTCTCGCCTAATTAGTGTTCTTACGGTATTGATGTCTTGTATCTTCTAGTAATTTCAAATCCTTGAGTTCTAAGGACTGAATGCATGCGGAAGATTCTTGAAAAAAAAACTAGAGTTTTCCAGGAAGGAAAAATTTAATGATTGAAAAACCGCCACGGCGACTTATGACCGCGACTGCACATATGAATATGCACAATGAAGAAAGTAGATGAATTAGCGATCAGTGGGAACAGCACAGGTTTCTGGGCTGGTAAGCCTTCTCACCAAATTGCATCCCTGTCTGCGAATGGTCATACAGAGAAGAGCTACTTCGATTGTTATTGAATTGCATGACAGATTTGAGTCAAGCGAAGACTATTGTTGTTGGAAATCAACAAAAAACGTAAAAAATGGCTCAAAGAATGATTCTTTATTTATGTATAGTACGGCAATCGGGTGATCCACATTTCAAAAGCGATAGCCCACGTGTGCGTCGTCTGCTATTCTGCCGATAAGACGTGCAACAGACGTTACTGCTAGCTTTGTTTTCCAAAATCTCTGGGCAGCTTCACGGACATCGGATTGATTTGCTGGGTTCTTCAATAAAAAGTCGCATCCATCTATCAAATCATGAGTGTCACTTACAACGAGTTACAGAATCAAAGACGGATTGTATTATGAAAAAGCAGCCCACCGGAAAAAAAGCTGTAGATGGCAAGGGATGCACGAAAGAGGAAAAAATCGGGAAAGGTAGTCTAGGACCCAAAAATGGGACCCTTCCTTGCTAGTTGATTTGCGCATTGATGCAACTCTCATCGGTGCTGTCCTCTTCAACGCTAATGCTCTCACTGCCGAACGCCTTGACACAGACACGAAACGACCCTAGAGAGGGGGAGGCGTAACAGCCAACAGTCCTTCGTTTGAATTGCGTGTCGGTCCGAACCCTCAAGAGGTTCTCCTGTTCCTCCACTAGGTAAGTTTCCCTTTCTTCTCATTCGTCCTTATCATGAAATCCTCCTGAACACATTCAACGACGGCGCCCTTTTTTTCCAATTTCCGATCGACGGACGCGATTTTGCGAGCGCCGCCGCCTCACTCATCCGTGACTTAAGCCGTTTGGACACGGTGAGCACCCGAAGGAAGCGTGAATTATATGTTCTGCTGTAGTCACGTACAATGCGCGACGCATTGACGCGCTGAAGTGTGTGCTCGCCTCCCACTATTCGTTTTCTCTGCGCTCTCTCAACGAGGAGAGAATGCGTCGAGCCAAGCCGCCAACTATACTGCGCTGCTCTCATCTACTTTTGGATTGCTGCCCTGGAAACCGGGGGTAGCCTCATTGTGAGCATAGTTTATAGGATTGTTACTGCGAAAATCGCGTCGATGCGACGCGCAATGTACGTGACTGCGGCAGGAACATCGTAATTCACGCTTCCTTCAGGCGCACCGTGTCTAAACGACTTACGCCCTCAACCGGTTCACTTTCTCCGCAGGTGAGTAGATAGCATTCTCAACTTCCGCTGCGGGGAAAGTGAACAGATGTTTGCAAAGTGAACAATGATTGTTTCAATCCAACCACTCATCCTCTCTTTCATAGCGTTTTTCTGCACTTCTAGCACTCTTTTCATTCATATGTTAATGGCAACAAAAAGGAAAAGAGAAATTGACGGGACTGAAAATCCCATATGACTCATTCCATGCATCTTTTTACAAAGGCCAATAGGCCTTCCTTGCCATAACTAATAGAGAGCATACTCACCCTTTTGATGTATGATTACGTATTAGTCTCCATCTCATTCTCAAGATATAAGAAATACCCAAAAATAACGAACAAGCGGCTGAAGCGATTATTAGATGACAGCCCATACGGACTGTCATCGTTTGGTAGGCCGTATCGGCTGTCGCCGGCGTGAATGTGTAAAGACAATCAGAGACAAAAATCCATCATTCTGGGCTCAAACCTTGGAGGGTGTGCTTCCATTGTATTGCGAACATACCTCACAGCTTGGGCACATCGTGACTGCGTCATCAGGCCTTGGCATTAAAACCAGAGCCAAGTCGTCAACATCACGATCTCGAAGGGTACTATTTTGTATAGATCTGAAACTACGTAGACAAAAATTGCATACGGAAAGTAAGTAGTATCGTCAGAGCTATTACCTGGTTCGCCTTCGTATCATGCGTTCAGTGACAAGAACAAGGCCCTTCTTAAACTGGCTATTAAGACGAGCATAAAAAATCCAGTTGAACGACGCAGAGACAAATGGTAACAAGTGAGAGTAGTACTAAAATGTCTTATTTATCAAGACACTGGTAAGAAGTTGCTCAGAACAAATGAACAAAAGACGAAATTTTTGAAGCTGAGTGTATGGCGGAGGGAGGGGGGGGATAAAAAAAAGACATTTTGTCTACACATTCGAAATGTTCAATAACGCTTTACCAGATTCAAATCGATTGCTCCCAATTTTAAGAAGAGCACATTTCATTTTATAAGAAAATCTTCATAGTGGCCATCTACGTGGACGGCATCAGAAAAATTTGCCCCGGAAACATGGTGCACTGGTCGAGCTCAATGGGGTCTTCGAAGGATCGTGTACCATTACGACGTTTTCTAAAAGCGGGTTTCCGAGGGGTTTGCATAGTTAGAGCTAATGTCTCTAGGAAACTATCCACGATTGAATCGATTCAAGAAATTGCGTAAGAGCTTCAGGCTGAAGCAGTTACTGTAGGCCTCCTTGAGCTCGACGACGATGACAGATGACGTCATATTCTGAAGACGGTGAGGGCAGTGAAGGAGGGCCTGCGTCTACTAATAGAGGGACATTTGCATTCGAGGATTATTTTGCTGAAGAACATCCGTCAACGAGGACCTTTTTCGCGACTAAAAAGAACGCCGACGTGCGGCAGCTGCGGCAGTACTCAAGGTATCACGTTCCAAGCATTGTATTGTAAGTTTTGAAAATTCCATTTGTGAAAATGGAGAAAGACAAAAACGTTGGAAATTTCTCCTAGTGAAGCCTTCCTCTTAGCAGATGCTTTTTAGCTCATGAGTCCGTGGCGACGAAGCTAAGGGGCCGCCACTGTGGACCACACATTCGGAAAGGAGAGAGCAATTATAGGAGTCAGAAAAACAAACGCGACCCATCCATCGGCTTAGTGACGCCCACATTCTAACTCAGTGAACTCCTAACCTTAGCTTTTACCACGCAATTCAAATGTGATGGCGGCGCAGCTCTTACGTTTTTGAATCATTGGCCCCATTGCTGGTCGTGCTCATTCTCGCTTATAAAGATAATCGAATTCAAGGGTGCACATTGGATGTCGTCGGACAACTGTTGCTCCATTTTTGCAAGGGTGTTAACGCGACTGTGACTCCGATAGACAATGGATTACGCGCATACACTATCACTGTGACTTTAATCTACTGCTTAAAATTCTTGGTCATCACTTTACACCGGCTGCCTGACTTAAGTACTTGCCCTCAGGTCTTAGCGCAAAAGACATGTTGAACGATCATTTTTTCGGGTCATCAGAATCTAGGTGCGAATGAACTTTGGGACGAGCACCTCATATATTTCGACAATGAAGGGTAAGCCCTGCTGTCAACCCTTAAGTAGCAGGCCGCGGTGAATTGCTAGGCCTGCATCAACACATGTTGTACACCTTTCGCTCGGAATGCACTGTTAGGGAGCTATGACATAGCGAAGCCAAAGTATTGCAAAGATCGACTAACCATGCAACCCTTCCCACCTACGGTTGTAAAGATAACGGCGATAACGGCTGCGGCCACACGCAAGGTGGATCACGATGTAGCGCTAAGTACCACTTTAAGAATACAGAACTTCTCGGAACACGGCCGTTTCCTATTAAAAGGTGGTGTGCTGATGGAAGAGAACATGCCTTCTTTGGAGCGTGATGTTTGGTTCCCCTTGCTGATGCTTTCTCTTTCAGATCAGTAACCACCCCATCTTCATTATTTAACTCTCTTACGCGCCTGATCCACATATCTTGGGCTTGCCTTCAAGTGAACAAAGCAAACCCTATAAAATGACTGACACCCTAACAAACTAGCAACCATTTATACTTTTTTATATATTAACCCCTCCTTTACTGTCCACCGTCTTCAGGGCGACGTCATTTGCCATCGCTGTCGACCTACTCTACTTGCTACTACTTGCTCTGCCGTGGAGCTGTTAACATTTTCTGCAGTCGATTCGCTAGTGGATTCCCAGAGAAATTGGCTTCGACTATGGGAGACCTCTATCCCAGGGATTCGGAGCAATAATGGCTCACGATCGACTGAACCTTGACAATCTACATACAAAAGTGCACTATCTTTCCGTGGCAAATCCTGCTTACGTCGTCCCATGTGAAGGGCTTTTGTCAGGGCTTTCTTGATGACGTCTGCTTTGCCCTTCAATTCCAGTTAATCATTTGTTCGATTATGGAAATGAGTAACTAAATCCATTCTAAATATAGAGGGAGGAGGATTCTTTTGTTGGCCCTCACACATATGTACAGGGTGTCCCATAAATATTGCACCAAATTTTGAGCTCAAATTCTGTAGGTGTTTATAGCTTTTCTTCCGAGATTGGCAGACCTTTCAATCCTCTATCCTCTTGTCAATGACCATGCCAAATTCCACGGCTTACCGTTCGGCCTGCATCTCATGGTGCGCCTAAACTTCAAAGAGTGCCTAACCTCTCACACAGCTAGGTCGGACATCCGGTGATGAGCATCGCGCTTCTTTGGATTTTCAACCGCTCCGCGGCCTACCGTGCACTAAAGAGAAGACCAATAAAAGTAGTCTTTGTTGCGTAAGCCCCACAAGCTC